GACTGTCCTTATTCCAACCCCACAGCTGTCTATGGGGTCACTGTTTTTCTTTATTGTTGCTCTTTCCATTTATTCTTTCCATTTTTAAGGAAATAGAGGCTCAGAGTGGTTAAGTAACTTGCCCAGGGTCTCACAGCCACTAAGAAGCCGAGCCAGGCTTTAGACAAATCCCGACTGACTCTTATTTTAGTGAACCTGACGCACCCAGAGTGCAGGCTGGGCCTGGCACAGAGAAGCCAAGGGGGCCCCAGGTGACTGCCGAGAGGCTCACACCTACCCGACCACACAGCCGCTCCAGTCTGCTCTCCCTGGAGGCCTTCCCATCCCCCCAGTTCTCCCTCCTCCTCTCGTGCCTTCCGGGGGACACCCCAGCATTATTCCCATGGGACCCAGTGGTACCCTGAGCTCAGTGGGTGGTGGCTCCCAAGTCCCGAAGGAGAACAGAAGGGAAGGGCAGGGTCCCCCAGCTGCCAGGACCAAGATCGAGGAGAAGCCCTGGGGTGGCGAGGCTGGAGCCAATGGAGGGGCAGATATGACAAAGGCAGCAGTGTGAGAGGCAAATGACGAAGGAACGCTGGGGAGACTGGAGACCTGCTGCTCCCAGATGCTGGAGGCTGACAGGGAGCAGAGGAAAGCAAGGGAGAGGACCCTCCTTTTGGAAAACTCAACTTCTAAGGAAATGATATGAGGCAGGTGACAACAGTACCTTTCCTACGCCCAGGTCTAAGCTGAGCCAAGTTCCTCTCCCAGCCCCCACCACTCACTTTAGTCCGCACAGAGTTGGCCCTAGAGGGCCCCTGTGCCTGGCATCAGTAAGTCTCAGGCAAGCTCTTAAATGTTAGAAGAAGCAGGTTGAAACTAAGGTGAAACCGGGAATTTGGGCAAGACAAGAAGATGAATTTCCTAAGCTGGATGAGCCTAGAATGAACTTCTAGGGAGTCAGAGTATTTCCTCCTAACCAACGTGCAGCCAAGTCAAGAAGTTGAAAAGAAAACATCAAACAGGTTGTCCGAATAGTCTCCCCTTTTAACTAGCTGTGTCTCCAACAATTGTCTTAGCTGTTTCTTTGTAATTAGTCAAAAATCCAAATCAACTAGTGACAAGGTTGAAAGTTAAAAGACTTTCCTGGATTCTTACTCATAAAGCATTCCCTCGTTCATAGTCACCTTTGTGAGCTCTCAGCTTCCACCTTTCAGCTTGTAAAAAAGGTGATGTGTCAACATGCACCACTCAAGGCTGGGCCACAAGCCGCACCCCCAAGGTGCGCACCCACACTAGCTGCTGCGTGAAGGGGAGAGGGGATGAATGGAGGTCTCTTCTCATCTTAACACCCATCGGTTCAAAGGTTCCTCACACTTGGAGACTACATTTTGCAATTAACATTGTTTTTAAATAAGAAATCCAAATTCACCAGTAAGCGGAAATATGAATTTTAATGCTAAAGTCTCAGAAGTCCCGTATATTGCTGGTGGGAACGTAAAAGGCAAAACCTATTTTCCAGGCACTCTGGAAAACAGCTTGTCAGTTTCTTAATGAAAATAAATGATACCACCCACAACTCCACTCGAGCCTTTTTTCCCAAGAAGTGAAAATTACATCCACACAAAAGCTGTACCTTAATGTTCTTAGCAGCCTTATTATTTGGAACAGCCCAGAGCTGGAAGCAACCTATTGTTTCTCAATGGGTGAATGGTCACACAAACTATGGCAAACCCACAGCACGATACTACTTAGCAACGGGCAGCGACTACGGATACTGGGAACGACTCGGATGGTCTCGAGAGCATTATGCTGAGGGGAAGAAGCCAGTCACAAAAGGTCACACACTGTATGATTCAGTTGATTTATGTAACTTTCTCAAAATAACAGCATCATAGTGATGGAGGTAGTGGCTTTCAGGGGTTTGCTCAGGAGGGGGCACTCCAAAAGGGTAGCACAAGGGAGCATTTTGTGGCGAGGGACAGCTCTGTACTCTGATATGGTGGTGACTACCCAAATCTCCATGTGTGGGAAGGTGGCCCGGAAGTAGAGAGGTGTGGTGCCCACGGTAGCTGCTGGGTTTGATGTTGCTCTTTTGTTAGGAAAGAGGCAGCCACTGGGGGCAGCTCGGGGAAGGGTACAGGAGACCCCACTGAGCTATCTTTGCAACTTTCTATGAATCTATAATTACTGCAAAATAAAAAGTTAAAAATGTGAATTTTAATGTAAAAGACTTAGAAATAAACCATCTTAGGCAAAGACCTGTAAGAGCAGGCTGCGGGGGAGCAGAGGTGAGGGAGACACTGTAGATCCCCATGCGGTCTGGGCCATCCCGTCTGTCGTCATCCGGAAACTCCAAGGAGCCAGAGTCGCCTGCCGGGGTGGCACGGGGCCTTAAGGACAGACGATGGGAGGAGGCTCATTTGAGCCCTGGGCTGATTCTGCTCTCCTGGTGGCCCTTGGTTCACATTGGAATGTCCTAAGCGCAGGCCTGCTCTGGGGTTCTTGGTGGGTGCTTCACAAACAGTGGCTGGAGGGAAACGTCTGTCCCGGGCAGCCCCGCATGGACAGCATCGGAACCCGGGTTACTGGGTTTCACTTTCTCTGCCCCTCTTTACTGGCCTGAGCTCCTGCTTTTACAAGCTGCTCTCTGGACTTGTGTCCTTAGCAAAACTTAGGCTTGTCCGTGACCCCCTGGGCCCTGAGACAGAACCTGGCCACCCGCCACCCAAGGCCTGGCACTCTATGGTCAGCCCCAGGGGTGGCAGCGACTGCGTGTCCAAGAGCCCCAGGTCAGAGAGAGGGGCCTGGGTGAGGCCATTCTACACGTGCCTCTCCAGCCCAGCGTGTCTTCTGCTCACTGGAGTCAGAACCTCCCCCCTGCCTTGACATTCTCCCCCCTCCCCTCTGTCCTCCCATCCCTCACCGTGGATGGAAGGCACACATGATTCTAGATGCCCTGCTAGGAAGTCTCATTTAAGGGAAAAGCAGGTGCAGAATAACCCCATTAAATATGTACATGTACATATATGAATATATGCATATCTCTGGATTATATTTATTTCTGGACTTTCTAAGTTTTTGACAATGAATAGGCTTACTTGTGAATTAAAAAGAAAGGAGTTGTAATGAGGAAATATCAGACGAGGCCAAATGGGGGGACATTGTACAAGATAACAGATCAGTACCCTTAAAAAATGTCAAGACAAAGACTGAGAAATTGTCCCAGATTAAAGATGAAGGATGTATGACAACTAGACACACTGTGGGACCCTGGCCTGGATCCTGGACCAGAAAAGCAACATTAGTGGGGAAATCAGCAAACTGTGAATAAAGCTGATAGAATAATTGACAGCATAGAATCAATGCCGATTTCCTAATTTCAAGTGTTGTACCTTGAAAGATGTGGACATTAGGGGAAACTGGGTGACAAGTACTTAGAACTTTCTGTACCATTGTTGCAGCTTTACTGCACTTCTAAAATCACATAAAAATACAAATAAATAAAGAAAATTGAACGAGCACAACAATACCCCCACCTCCTAAAACACCAGGGTCCAGAGCCCAGCATAAGCACGCACTTTACTCGCCCAGGAATTCCACCGGCAGGAGCAGTGTGGGGGCACAGGATGACCCTCTCACAGAGACTCTCCCCCTGCGTGTGTTCCTGATTCTAGAAGCGCCACCCCCCAGCCTCCTGCCAGTCATTCTCTCCTGGTCCCTAGGCCTTTCTCTCTCCTGTGCCCCCACCCCAGCCTAGAAATGCCTGTCCTCTGAGATCCAACTCCCAGGGACAGGCCTGGCCCCCTCCCCACCCTGCAGGGGTCAGATGGTCTCTCGGAGGGGGAACGCATGGGAGTCTCTCTCCACCAGACAGGGAAGCACCGGAGGCAGCGAGTGCCATGGGCAGCCGCTTGCATGGCTGACACGGAGGAGATCAGGCTCAATAAAAAGAGGTGGAGCCAACCACGACCCATGTGGCTGTTCCAAGGTGAGGGACACACCCAGGTCCTGGCACAGAGAACTCATAAGAGCACTACAGTGTCATCGGCCTGGCAGGATGCCCACGCTTGTCCCCTGGGGTGGCAGCCCTGGCAGAAACCTGCCTTGGGTGGGGTTTTGGCCGGAGCCACCCAAATGCTGGGCTCACCTAGCCTGGCTTCCCTTTCTGGTTGACATCAATAGTTGTCCTTTAACCGGTTTGCCTAAAAGTCACTAAATCCGGCCCAACCTTCCAAGCAGATGAGAGTGAGAAGGGCTAGTCACGTCCAAGTGAAAGGTAGATCCTCTCTTTCTTCCTCCCTGCCCAAGGGCAACACTGCCAAATTCAGGACAGGTAAGAAAATATCACTCACAAGCTAGCTGTTTCAGAAGGTGTTCGAAAACCAAAACACACTTCTGTGCCCCGAATTGGTCAGCAGCCTTGAGTGTCGCCCTCGGTGAAAGGGTGTGACGGCAGCGGCCACAGCGCACTTGCATTCTGTGGGTCCCCGCACCACTGTACCGCACAGCTCCGCAGCCAGGGCGGAGGCGCCCCAGCGAGCCACGCAGTGACAGCTCTCGTTTGTAACCAGGGCACCCCACACGACTGTTTCACGGCAGATGTTGCCGAAAGCCACCCAGGTGTGGGGACCCTACTTTAAGTCAGGGTGCAAAGTCAGCCGAGATGACAATGAAGAAAACTCCGAACGACCTCCTCTCAGCAGGAGAGTCGGAGTCTGCCCGTCTTGACCTGTACGGAGGCACCACTAGTTGGAGAAAGGGACCCGAGCAGTGCAAGTCCTTTTCCAACATCTTCCTGGAACCCGGGCATTGCAGCCTCCGCTCCCGCGCCTGCAAGAACCAGGCGGGCCGCGGGCCCTCCCGCTCGGTGGGCCCCGTTTTGGAGAGACCCCCGCCCTGCGTGGGGGCGCACAGAGCGGGTCAGGCCGGCTGCCCGCGACAGCGCCCGCCCGCTCGGAGCGCAGCGGCGGCCCTCCGTCCCCTCCCCCGAGGGCAGCGGCTCCGGCCGGCGCACTCACCAGCTCGGGCAGGATGAAGGCGTAGGGGATGGTGAGGAAGACCGCGACCCCCGAGGGCGCGTCGGGCTGGGCGTAGGTGGTGGCGGGCGGGTCGCGGGAGGCCATGCTCGCTGCCCTGCTCGGCGCCCCTGGCTCGCGGCAGCTCGCCCGCGCCCGCAGCCCGTCAAATATCACCTCCTGCCCGACACACCCATCGGACGTCGCCTGGGAGGGGAAAATGTTCCCGCCGAGCAGGTCCTTCCACTCGCCGCAGCCAACAGATCCTCAGTGAACCGCTGAGCGGCGTCAGACAGGCTCTGTCCCGCCAGCGGGGACAGGGCTGGGGCGGGAGGCGAGCAGAGTCCCTTTCCAGACCTCTCTTCCTGGGGAATTTTTCACTCCTGGAGCAAAGGACTCCAGGGGGTGCCAGCTACAGCCCCTTCCTGCCCCACCCCTGTGCCTAGAGCACAGGCTAAGTCTGTTTTGCCCTGACAAAGACCGTTTATTGAGCACCTACTATGAACCCAGCCTTCTGCAGACAACCCTGGTGCTTCCGACAGCCTATACGAGGCTGTTTTGTCCTTTTCCAACTAAGGAGACTGAGAATCAGTGAAGTCGAGTCAAGGTCACAGAGCTGGTCACTAGCAATGCTAGGTCTTCTCTCTTGCCTGGTCCCTCACTCTCCCCTCCGGGGGCAACCCTCAGCCCCCAGCAGGGCCACAGGGAGAGGAACAGCTCTCACTTCCAGCCCCCACTGGGACTTGGTAGTTCCTTCATTCTCTGGATCCCCCCTCATGGTCCTTCTCTCCTCTCTGCCTCACAGGGCGGATGGAGGGAGGTCCCGCTCTCTGGCAGAGGACCACCCTGGTGGGCTCCTGAGAAGGGCCTGGCAGGCTGGCTGCTGCCCCAAGCCAAGACTTTCCTTCCCTTCTTGGCCCCCCTCTCAGCCAGGGCCTGGGCAGAGGGGGAGCTGGGCTTGGGGCCAAGCAGTTCCTTCCTGACTCCCGCAGGAGCCTGAGAGCCGGCTGCAGGGCTGTGACCCAGAGGCAAGCAACCTCTTTCACACAAAGACAGGTCCTGGAGATTGAGCCATTTTCCTCCCTACCTTTGAATGGGCTAACCTTCATTTGTCCCACCCTGAAGGAAGGCCTGAAGTCCACTCAGGATGCTTGGGGTGGGGTCCCTTCCTCCTGCCCTCCAGGGCCCAGACCAGTTGGGAAGCTGCGAGGGGTGTGCAGAGGATGTGGGGAACATTGCCTTGAGTGCTGGAGTCATTAGAAGAAGCCAGTGTCTTGACCGCATTAGCAAGAGCAGTGAATGCCAGGGCTTGCCTGGCACTCACAGGTGGGTAGAGCAGCCAGCTAGGCCTCTGCCTGGTCTGGGAGAGCCAGGGGAGAGAGGAGTTTGGACAAATGAAGCCAAAAGCAAAGACATTTCAAGGAAAGGCAACAGGCCCTCCAGTAATCCTCAAACCAGCCTGGTCATCCTCTTCTCCCAAACTAAGAAGGAAGGGAGGCCCTAATTCCACCTGCCAGCGGGTCCTGCCTTGTTTACAGGATTAACCCAAGCAAAGCATGCATTTCCCCAGGAATCCCACCTCTTGCTACCTCTCTGAAATGTTGCAAATAAGCGCTGTGCCACTCTTCTGGGCTGTAGGATACTTGTGACTTGACCACGGGTAACATGGAATAGTGGGAAAAGTTTATAGTAAAGTTAAGAAGAAAACCAATGTTTCTGGTGCTCATATCTCATCTAGGAAATGAAGATAATAATTCAACCCATAGCCTCTTAGACTTTTGGGTTGAGAGGGCCTGGGCCACTTCCATCATCTGAAGCAATTAGTTTATTAAGAAATGAAGATGGTGTATTGCAACTAGCATGTGGCAGAGTCCAGAGCTGGCAGCCAACAACTGTGGTCATGGCACCAGCAAAAATCCTGACGGGGGGGAGGCCTATGAGCAAATAAGGGAGAGACTGAAGAATGAAGTCACTCAGATGAAGGAGCAAGTACCTGGTTTCACACCAGGCCTGGTAATTTTACAGGTTGGTGACAGAGATGATTCCAATCTTTATATAAATGTGAAGCTGAAGGCTGCTGAAGAGGTTGGGGTCAAAGCCACTCACATTAAATTACCAAGAACAGCCACAGAATCTGAGGTGTGAAAGTACATTAGATCTTTGCATGAAGACTCTACTGTACATGGATTCATACTGCAGCTACCTCGAGATTCAGAAAATGCTGTTAACACTGAAGCAGTGATCAAAGCTATCGCACCCGAAAAGGATGTGGATGGATTGACTAGTATCAGTGCTGGGAAACTCGCTAGAGGTGATCTAAATGACTATTTCATCCCTTGTACGCCTAAAGGATGCTTGGAACTCATCAAAGAGACAGGGGCGCAGATCGCCGGAAAGCGCGCCGTGGTGGTTGGGCGCAGTAAAATAGTAGGAGCCCCAGTGCATGGCTTGCTTCTGTGGAACAATGCCACAGTGGCCACCTGCCACTCCAAGACTGCCAACCTGGGCCAGGAGGTAAATAAAGGTGACATCCTGGTGGTTGCAACTGGTCAGCCTGAAATGGTGAAAGGAGAGTGGATCAAACTGGGGCAATACTCATCGACTGTGGGACCAATTATGTCCCAGATGATACAAAATCAAATGGGAGAAGGATCGTGGGTGATGTGGCATAAAACGGGGCCAAAGAGCGGGCGGGCTTCATCCCTCCTGTTCCTGGCGACGTCGGGCCCATGACGGTGGCCATGCTGATGCAGGGCACGGTAGAGAGCGCAAGGGGTTTCCTGGAGAAATACAAGCCAGGAAAGTATTAACCTTAAGTATTAAAATTAACCTGAAGACACCTGTTCCAAGTGACATTGCTATATCACGATCTTGCAAACCAAAGCCCATTGGTACGCTGGCTCGAGAAATTGGCCTGTTCTCTGAAGAGGTGGAATCGTATGGTGAGACAAAGGCCAAAGTCCTGCCATCAGCACTGGCACGCCTGAAACGCCAGCCTGACGGGAAATACGTGGTGGTGACTGGAGTAACTCCAGCTCCCCTGGGAGAGGGGGAAATACAACCACAGTCGGGCTGGTGCAAGCCCTGGGCGCCCATCTTTCCCAGGACGTCTTCGCGTGTGTGCGACAGCCTTCCCAGGGCCCCACCTTTGGAATAAAAGGTGGTGCTGCAGGAGGTGGCTACTCCCAGGTCATTCCTACGGAAGAGTTTAATCTCCACCTCACTGGTGACATCCATGCCATCACTGCAGCTAATAACCCGGTTGCTGCGGCCACTGATGCCCGGATATTCCATGAACTGACCCAGACAGACAAGGCTCTCTTTAATCGTTTGGTGCCCTCAGCAAATGGAGTGAGAAAGTTCTCTGATATCCAAATCCGAAGGTTAAGGAGACTAGGCATTGGAAAGACTGACCCGACCACACTGACAGATGAATAGATAAACAGATTTGCAAGATTGGATATTGATCCAGAAACCATAACTTGGCAAAGAGTGTTGGATACCAATGATAGATTCCTGCGGAAGATCACAACTGGACAGGCTCCAACGGAGAAAGGGCACACACGGACGACCCAGTTTGATATCTCAGTGGCCAGTGCAATCATGGCTGTCCTGGCCCTCACCAGTTCTCTGGAAGACATGAGAGAGGGACTGGGTGAAATGGTGGTGGCCTCCTGCAAGAAAGGGGAGCCCATCAGTGCGGAAGATCTGGGGGTGAGTGGCGCGTTGACAGTGCTTATGAAGGACGCGATCAAGCCTAACCTCATGCAGACGTTGGAGGGCACTCCGGTGTTTGTCCACGCCGGCCTGTTCGCCAACATCGTGCATGGGAATTCATCTGTCATGGCAGACCGGGTCGCACTCAAGCTTGTCGGCCCAGAAGGGATGGTAGTTACCGAAGCCGGATTCGGAGCAGACATTGGAATGGAAAAGTTTTTTAACATCAAATGCTGATACTCTGGCCTCCGCCCTCGCGTGGTGGTGCTCGTTGCTACTGTCAGGGCTCTTAAAATGCACGGGGGGCGGCCCCACGGTCACCGCTGGACTGCCTGTTCCCAAGGCTTACAGAGAGGAGAACCTGGAGCTGGTTGAAAAAGGCTTCAGTAACTTGAAGAAGCAAATTGAAAATGCCAGAATGTTTGGAGTTCCAGTTGCAGTGGCTGTGAATGCGTTCAAGACGGATACAGAGGCTGAGCTGGACCTCGTCACCCGCCTTGCCCAAGAGCATGGAGCTTTTGATGCTGTGAAGTGCACTCACTGGGCAGAAGGGGGCAAGGGTGCCTTCGCCCTGGCGCAGGCTGGCCAGAGAGCCGCACAGGCACCCAGCAGCTTCCGACTCCTTTATGACCTCCAGCTCCCAGTTGAGGATAAAATCAGGATCATTGCGCAGAAGATCTATGGGGCAGATGACATTGAATTGCTCCCCGAAGCTCAGCACAAAGCCGAAGTCTACACGAAGCAGGGCTTTGGGAATCTACCCATCTGCATGGCCAAGACACACTTGTCCTTGTCTCACAACGCAGAGCAAAAAGGCGCGCCTACAGGCTCCGTTCTGCCTATTCGTGGCATCCGCGCCAGCGTTGGGGCTGGTTTTCTGTACTGTTTAGTAGGAACAATGAGCACAATGCCTGGACTCCCTTCCCGGCCCTGCTTTTATGATATTGATTTGGACCCTGAAACTGAACAGGTGAATGGACTGTTCTAAACAGATCAATCTATCTTCAAGGAACTACTTTGAAAGTCTGGCCAGTATCTCTTCAGGCCCACTGGGAGTTAGTCAAGAGAAGTCAGCCCCTTCCCTGAAGATCTTCTGAAACATATAGTGGGAGTTTCTCCAGAAGCCTTAATTCTCATCATCATGTATAAATTAACATAAATCATGCACATTTCTATTTACTTTAGTGCAGATCCACAGAATAAAAGAAAATAATTTTGCTAAAAAAAAAAAAGAAATGAAGATATGACAAAACAAGGTTATAAAAAATTTGGGATATTTTATATGTTTACATTTAACCAAGTAATGTTTTGTTCTATGCAACGAGGTATAGTACACTCTAATTAGGCTATTTATAAGAAAACCATAAGATTTATAATACAGCACAGGCAGTAAGATTTCATAAGGGACAGAAGTTTAGAAATGTAAGAAGAACATCTTTGCCTTAAAGTCCAGCCAACATATCTCTGGGGCTGTGGGTATGAATGTAATGGGACACAAGGTCAA